CGCCGCTTTCGCGCGCCTGGTCCAGTACCCCGCTCCAGGAATTGAAGCCAACTTCAACCACCTCTACAAGTATTCCCTCCCCTCTTCTAACATTGTGACGTCGTCATTGATACGGCGTCGCCCTTGTCTTGCTAATTCGCAACTTGTAGTCGCTGGCTCTCTTCATGGCACACCTTGCTGCCGCCAGCTCTGACCACATCTACAGGTATCCCCTCCCCGACTCTAACATTGCGACGTCGCCATCAGCGCGGCGTCGCCTCTACCTGCTAATCTTGACTTGTAGCCGCAGCGCCTCCATTACGGCACTTGCTGTCGTCGTCAGCAGTATATTCGTCGGACCGCCCAGCCTCACTACCCCGCAATCTTTACTGACGAAACGACTATGTCCACCCATTGGTATGTTACCTCTTCTACCTTACATCATGAGTTCTTTGACTAACCTTTGCCTAGTGGTGCTTGGTCTTCCACCTCCATCTCCTTATCTCCCCCACCCTCCTTCATCCAGATTTGTCATCCCCTTCTTTACTGACCTCTCCCAGACCATGGAGGCCAAGTACGAGTAGATGCTCGACTGCTCCGGCTTACCGCATCCCGTTTCGCAATAGCAACGCGCTGCTTGTCCATCTTGTACATGCGGGCCCCTCATGACCATTGCGACAACTCTTGGTCCACTTCTAAGTTCATTCCCTTCCCTCATCGAGCTCATCGACTAACGACACCAGTACATGGCGCCTTAAACCTTACCCATACCCCTATCGAGTACCCCGTATACCCAACCAAGGCGAGAACTCCGGCTGACTGCATCCAGGGTATCGCTGCCGCCTTCGGTCGAGCTCAACACCACGAACCGAGATGCCTCCCACAACCAGCTTTCAGCTTTCCCAAGAAGCTCAACGACGCTTCCACACGCAAGACCCAACCGTTTCCGTTGTCTTTCCGATACTTCCCTCTTTTGCTTCTCTCGCCTTCGCCCAAGAGAAGAAGTATCATGTCGGATGCCACCGCTGCACAACATAACAAGGCATCCTCTTCACGTACGTATCCCCCTCCCCCGCCGTTGACTAACTAGTGTTACAGGGTGGGATGGCAAAAATCTGACTCTGGCTCCCCGTCGCCGCCTCCTGGTAACGTCCTTCTCTTCGGAGAAGGGCGGCTAACTGAGCTCCAGTACTCGTGCTTAACCGCATTGAACCTTCTTCCAATCATTTCGCTTCCCTAAGCATCGTCGAAATATTCTCTCTTCTTTCCTTCCTCCCCTCCTCCGAGCTCGCCATCCATGCCGACCTACGCGCTGGCCAGTACATCATCGAGCAGTATACCTTTCATCAGCGTCTCATCGACGCTAAGTATCTACCTACCCTTACCGGCGACATTCACTTACTGACATGTATTCAGGCTGTCTCTCACCCATACGCCAGCGTCTCGAGATGCCATGTGGTCGAGGCAGACGATTTATACGCCCATCGTGGGCAGCAACCCTATTCGACCCCAAGGCTTCGACAGCCTATCGCATGTACGTCGTCCTCAACCTTCGTCTTTTGCTAACTTGTATCAGTATAGAAAGCAATGTGAGTACACACTCCCCCTTTGGTTGTTGCTAACGTGTCTCAGTGTGGGAAGTGAATCTGTCTCTGTGCGTCCCCGCCGCGCTTCCTGGAAACATCTCACCTAGTCTGAGGGAGATGGCTGAACAGGGCAGTCCCAGCAGGAAAGGTCATTGCCTGCTGGTGTCTTCGTTTGTTTAGGCGACCGCGCCGCGAGTGGTCAATCCAATTCCTCGCCGAGAACGCCTTCCGCCCCTGAAAGTTCAAGCAGTAGAACTGGAAGCAAGCAAGATGTGTCACTGGGACACTGAGCAAAAACAAGCTACAATGAAGAGGCGAGCTGGCGCCAGACGAAGTGAGCATCATCTTTCCCCTTCGATCAATTCCCCTTCATTTACTAACACTTGCCAGATACCAGCACCCCGACAAGCCCTGCCATCCACCCAGGGCATGGGAGGCAAAATCTGACTCCGGGTCCGCGCCGCGTCGCACCCGCCTCCCGGGCAATGCCCTCTCCCACGACGAGAGGGTAGCCAAGTGAGCTCCAGTCGCCAGCAAGACCTCATCACCACTTGCTGGTGTCGCCCCGATACCACCTCCTTGCGCGAGCGACATCGACGCCCTCGGAGAAACCGCCTCGAATACCAGCCTTATAAAACTCCTAAGATCATTTGCAATCGCAATGCGACGTCGCTATTTTTCCTACTTTTGCAAGCGTTGCAGCGTTCTTGATTAGAAGATGGAAGGTACACGAAGTTCACGCCTTTCGCCTCTGCCAGGACATACTCGCTGGTACAAGCAGCGACCCATTGGCAGGTGAAGTACAAGACCGGTGAGTAGCTTCTTGCATCCTACTTCAAACCCATACTAACTCGTCCACAGGAAATGTTTTCGGACGTCGCTTGTGGTGGTCTCGATAACATCTGCTCCATCTACAACCTGTCGGCTCGGGAAGGCCCAACACGTGTGGGACGCAAGATTTTCTGCTACTCGTCAACAAGCGCATCCTCACGTCGCTTGTTGGCATGACCTGTGTGCTGTGGGATCGGGTCGGTCCATCCGCCGACCCAAAGACTACATCACTCCCACCGCCGATGAGAACGCATACCCGCCTGGCGATGAGGTTTCGTCCGTTGTCAAGGACAGCCCAAACAAGCTGAGCATCGTCAACATCCCCACATACATGGAGGAGGAGCAGATTCGAGAGCTTGTTGGGTCTTGGGACACAAGCTTTTCTGCTACTCGTCAACAAGCGCACCCTTACATCGCTTGTTGGCATGACCTGTTTTGTCAGGGACAGCCCAAACAAGCTGAGCATCGTCAACATCCCCACATATATCGAGGAGGAGCAGATTTGAGAGCTCGTCGAGACCCAGCAAGCTGATCTTTCTTCTCTCTTCTCCTTCTTGGATCTCGAGACTGGCTCCAAGGTGCATGAGTTCGCCGACCAGTCATCATCTTGACTGAGACAATCTTCATGACCGTCACGCTTGAGTCAACCTCAAGCTCTGCTTCTTCCGGTTGCTCCATCACTACTGCCTCTACTGCGCTGCTCGAGCCGTCCATCACCTTCGAGGTCCCGCAGAAGGGCGTTCCTGACGTCGCGTCCACGCCTTGGTTTCGCTTCAACCTCCTTACCTCCTTGGCTCCTCCATGCATATACTACGCTCACACATCGCCTCCTTACATGACCGATATGAACCAAGAAACGATCCATAGTGAGGGCAGCGTTGTTCTCATCGTTGTTGACGGATGTGTTCCAGAAGGTCATCACCATGGTACATGAGTACGTTCAAGGAGAGGACTTTGAGGAGGACGATGCTGGCCCTCAGGCCGGCTTCGAGGAGGAGGATTCGACAGCGACAAGTCGCCTTCCCTAGTGATGGGTCGGTGCCCATGGTAATCCGCCTTCTCCTGCGATGGGGGTTGGCGTTCATGGTAAGTCGTCTTCCCCACCGTGGGGTTGACGCCCGTCTTCGGACGGCCCAGGAGTATTCGGTGATCACGGCGAGGAGAGGTCTAATGCAGCAAGTCCGCTTCTACCTCCTACGCACCATCGAGACATCCCATCTCCCGAATCAGAATCCAGAATCGCGAGGAGTCGAAGAGCAGTACGTCCTGCCCAGGATCAGTGTCACCGTCGCGAAGCGTGGCAGCCATACCTTGAGATACCTTGCCTCACGATGTCCGGAACATCTGCATCTCTGTTCGGGGGCGATGCGCCATCCACCTCCGAGAACAACGACGTAGCGTCGGCAGTCAAGATGCCCAGCGCCCCAGATCCTCCTCCCAAATGTTGCTTTATCTGTCTTCGAGATCGAGCTCAAATCCGACTGTTGCACTGGATGTCAAGCCCCGTCAACTCTTGGTACGTTACAAATTGGATTGTCCCTTCCATAATGAATCATTATACTAACGATGCGATAGACATTTGCGGCGGTAGGTCGCCTTCCTTGACATAGGGTCGGCGCCCGTCGTGAGCAGAGAAGGACTCACACCTCTTCTCATGTCGCACAAGACAAACGTTTGAATATTGAAGTTGGCGACAAATGCAGAGCATCTCTTCAACAACTACAACATCGACCTGTTCATCGAGTACGTGGAATTCGTTGCGCTTGGTCTTCCGCAAACTTCTCCGGCAGACCTCTCGCCCAAATGCCTACAACGTTGCGCCACAACATCGACAGCTTTCACGCCCCATGCTCAACGACGACAAGTTCGAAATGCATCCCGCACGATCACGTACTCCTGTCCTTCACGTCCAACAACAGAGTCTTGAGGATCGATATGGTACCCCACAGACATTTCCGGGCATCACGAGAGTAAACCTGCATACCAAGATGGCGGAGATGAGCCAACGCGTAGTTGCTAGCACTTGGTTTCAGCGCTTCCTCTGGCCACCCTCATCGGCAAGAAGTACTTTGTGCTTCACGACACCAACGCGATGGCATCGCAACGCATACTTCATCTCCTCCGATAGCTCGTACCAACGGCAACCACGTCAAGACCTGCTCTGATGTTCGGCGAGATCGGCCACCATCTCAGCGACCACCGCCTTCGCGTATCTTTAACATATCCCATACCCCAAGCTGTAAGTCGCCTTCTCCTATTGATAGGGTTGGCGCTTGTCTTGGGGCGACAGTTCAGAAGCAGCCGATATCTCTTCACCCAACCAGTAGTACGAGCACATCGTCGACAGACGAAGCCCACACATCGCAGTATCCTGTGACGCCCTGGAATACTTCATGCCCGGATGGCGGTCTCCATGTGTCGCTCTTCCGCCTCTCCATCGTACTCGTCAACAAGCGATCGCCTCTTTCGGAGAGGAACCCAACCAGTAGTACGAGCATATCGTCGACAGACGAAGCCCATACATCGCAGTATCCTGTGACGCCCTGGAATACTTCATGCCCGGATGGCGGTCTCCATCTGAGACTGCTACCTCGCTACTGCTGTATGCTCGTAGCCCGTGCCCAGAGTGCCACGACTTCTCCTCTCCATCGCCGCTGCCTCCCGCTCCTGCGCACGGAGTTTACCATCTTGAATCAGCTGAGAGACTTGCAGCACCCATCGCCTCTTTCGGGGATGAACACCACTCCGGATCTGCTACTCGTCAACAAGCGCACGCCTCTTTCGGAGAGGAATACAACTCCGGATCAGGGCGGCGGCGGTGACGAGGATGCCGCCAAGCGCAAGCTCTCCAACCCGATCCTCGCGCGTGTCGTCGTTGGTCGCAAACTTTCGAAACCTCGCCAGAAGCCCGTCTCAGAGCGGCCCATCCTCAGGATGCGCGGCGACAGGGAGGCCAGGTACCGAAGCCAATCTACTGGACACTATCAGACGGATTTGCTAGCTTCTGTGCTATCTGCCTCGCCATTTCGTGCTACTCGTCAACAAGCGCAAAGAGAAGTTCAATGATATTAGCCCTCAGGCGGGCTTCGAGGAGGATCTGTACGCTGCTATGGCGCTGTCTGGCACCAAGGCTCAGGTCCTCGAGATGCATAAGGAGTTGGTCTGATTGAGATGGATATGGATGATACTGGTAACTGGTGTGTAATGGCTTGAGATGATATGGACATGACTGTTACCACTACCCAATCGCCTCTTTCGGGGAGGACGCGATGGAGGCTTCGGCGGCGGACGTGATAGGATGCGTCAGCTCTACTGTCGATTTCGGGTTCGGGCTCGGGCTCTTCGACCGCAGGTCGCTCATTAACATTATCAAGATGCCAAAATTCACGCTCCAAGCCGTTTGGAGGCAAAAGAAGAGTCCCCACCCTTCAACAAGCCGCGCGAGGCTACACCCGACCTCACCACCTTCACAAACATCCAGAAGCGCGAATGTCGCATGACACAATGGGACATCAAGTCCGCAGGCTACGAGAACATCACCGCCGGATGGCGTCGCAACTCACTCCAGTCCCACTGGTTCGCCTATCCCGTTCAGTGGCTCACGCTTGAAGCGCATCCTCCCCGAGTCTCAGCGTCTGCCTTTGGCGATGGTGATATGCTCTTGTTCAGGACAGAATGATCGCCAACAGCTCTGTCATGGACAAGAGCATATCACCATCGCCAAAGAGTTACCGCAGCGACGACTTCGAGAACACATACAGTCCAGGGTCTATGCTAGATCAATCTTCGCCACGGCTGCGGTCCGTTTGCACAGCTCTGTCCTGGACAAGAGCATATCACCATCGCCAAAGAGTTACCGCAGCGACGACTTCGAGAACACATACAGTCCAGGGTCTATGCTAGATCAATCTTCGCCATGGCTGCGATCCTTTCGTTTCATTCACTCTTTCGCTGAACCCCAGCCGATGGAACCAGTTTACTGACCCCAACAACACCACCGTCTTCATCGGCGGCCTCTCCGGCTAAGTCACCGAGGACGAGCTCCGCTCCTTCTTCCAGGGCTTTGGCGGGATTACATACGTCAAGATACGCCCCGGCATGGATGAGTTGGTGGAGTGAATGATGAGGAATGTCGAAGGAAACCCTCCTTGGTGTTGCGGTAGATATAGTAAGTTTCCCCTCCTCGCTTCTCGTACTGGTTCCAGTTGCTAACTCTTCGCAGATATATACTTGTTTGATACCATGCGGTTCTTTTTGCTTGCGTGACGTGATGCTTCCACTTTCGATGTCGACATGGCTGCGAATCTTGTCCGGTAAGTACTCCCTTCTTCACCCCCTTTCGTACAAGACCATAGCTAACTCTTTCACATGCCCTCTAAGCTTGTGCTGAAGCTAGTTCTGCGCTTCTCAAGGCGGTGCGATAATCTTCCGAGACTACTTCCTCATAGTAGCATCTCCAGTCCGCGCCGCCGAGATCTGAGTCTTATCTCTTTCCCCAGCCCTTTATCCGATGGTAGCTATCTCTGGCGTTGTCTCCGGCAGCGGCGACAGCAATCTGTGAGTGTCGGTCAAATTGACTAGATGCCCGAAGGTTTGAGACGGTGGCTGACATCAAACGCATGACCTTCGATATCGCGCTGGCTCTTGTGTGACTATCGCATTACTGTAAGTACTTCCGACCAGATGCCCGATGAACGACGCTTATGCTGGCTTTTGTACGTACGCCTTCCCGACTGGCGTTGACGATGGTCAGCTTTCTCGAGCCCATTCATTCGCAACGGCGGATGCTATCTCGTGAGTGTCGTTCAGATTGAACAAGTGTCCGAAGATCTGGCTCCTCCACTAACTTCAGTGCCAGGCATTTCAGTCCGCCTTCGGGCAGGCTTCGGTCTTGGTTGCTTCATCACAGTAAGTACCTTGACCAAATGCTCGGTGGTGAGGCACATTGCTGATCATCAAGATATACGCCTCCTCGCCCGGCACCGCCTTCTCACCTGGCACTGCCTCCTGGTCACATCGCCTGATCATTTCGCATTCTCCACTCATGGCATCTCCGCCCGATCGCCAACCAAATCTGGTTGCCTTCTCGAACGTCGTTGTCCGCAACGGCCAGGCAATCCTGTGAGTATTGTTCTCATTGACCAGCTGACCCGAAGTATCCAGATTCTACCGGCGTATTTCCATGTCCTCACCTCTTTCTTTGACCGATCGCAGTCCCAATGTTGGTTTCAGGGAGTCGCATCAACCTCTAAGGTAGTGAGACCACTTCCTCATAGTGGCCACTCACTGAGCGGCTCCCAAGAGCAAGTTAGCCGCATTGCGAGCTGTTATCCAGGGCTTTTGTCCTGTATAGAGCCACAGCTCGATGGTCGGGGGTGGAGTAAGCATCTTTTCCAAGCCATGGAACTGATGTGTTATGTCGCCTGTACATTTTCCATACTTCACATGGAGTTGAGGATATTTGATCGAATTTGGTAGCTTCTGGTGTCAGCGTGGGCGCCACGCATCCGGTGAGTGTCGTTCGAATCGACCAAATGCCCGAATATATGGACTTTGCTAATGCGATGCGTGTATTTTGAACTTGTTCGACTCCGCCGCGGACTTCCAGTCTTGACGACTTCTACTACTTTGAAGGTAAGTACCTCCTCTTCTCCAAGACAACATCCTCCTAACCGCATGGTGTCGTATGCGCGCAATGTGCTCTTTCAGCTTCCTCACTCGTATCCAGCGGCGTGACAGTGAGCACCTCTGATCCCCCAAGTCAGCATCATGCTAACCGGTTGGTGTCGCATACGCGCATGTGCTCTTGTCGAATTCGACGGTAAGTACCTCGTTTCTCTCAAGACAGCAGTATGCTAACCGCGGGCGGTCTGCCTTCTCCAGGTTGTTCATGCGACAATCTCTTGTTTACTCTTCGCAATACACCCAACGCCATAGTGTTGAGTGTCATCATCTGCCCTACTCTTCCCATTCGCGTACAGCTAACATTGTCGCAGATACGCTTAAGCATCATCAGCAAGCTGCTACATCCGTCCCTTCTCATCTCTTTCTTTGATGTCTGCCTCTTCCTCTTTTGGCTACCTGATTGCTGGAATGCGTCATCGTTGGTTGATCGTCAACCTCAACTCCGCGGATTTTGTTCATAGCTGACAAGATAGCCAAAGCAGCTTCCGAACGATGCGACAACATCAGAAGCCGACTGACAAGCATTTCAAGGGTATTGCCTTGGCTTCAGGCGCCGCTTTGACGCTCCATCGTCGTGGTGCGAGGCTGGGGTCGCAAGAAGCGCCGCACCAAAGGTGAGCTCAACACTCCAACTGTAGGCCATGCTAACATCGACTCAACCTTGACCAACCATCCCAGAGCTCTTCTGATTTCCTCCCTGTTCCCTGCCGACAGCTAGCGCATGTCACACGCCGCCTGCTGCCTTGTTGCTGCGCACAAGCCCGGGTACCCGCTCGACGCAAACAAACGCCCTCACCGCTCGACCTTGGGTATATAACCACCACAATCGAGCTTCTCTTCGCCTTCGGGCATTTGGTCATTTGAAACGATACAGAGAAGATTAGCATGGCCCCTGCACTAAGGATGACACGCTCAATCAAAGAGACGCTAACATTTTTTTTTGCGAATCTTTTGGCTTCACTTTGCCTTGCATAAGGTCAGCGATTCGAACACGCAAGGCGACGGCAGCACGGGCCTGTTGCACGCCTTGCTTTCCCACGCTCTTTTTGCTGCCAACACCGGCGCGCTGAGTATGGACAAGCGACATGAGGGTTCATCGAGCATCCGTCCCAGGCTATGGATGTCTTGCTATCGACAATGAAAAGTTGCTGATATTCAGGTCTGTCAACTTGTGGCTCATTTTTGCGAGTGCTTTCTGAGCTCATCGTTGGTATCGGCTCGACGTTGATCTTGGTGTTCCGAGGGCATACGCGATCTTCGAACGCCGCTCCAGCCAGTATAACGACTCCACAGAAAAGGACCTACTGCCTCAGGGCGATAGTAGTGTCCCGAAACTGGAGCCGAGAAGAAACCAAAGTGCATGCCCTGTCTTCCAGAGATCGAAAAGTCGGATATCTAAGGATGGTGTTATCAAGTATACTTGCTGCGCCCGTTACGCAGATTCCGAAGGCAGGTTGCGTATATGCAAGGACGCAGAGCTGTTCCGCTCGCCCGCTACATGGAACGGCATGTCGCGTGGGTCTGCAGGTTGCTCTGCTCCAACATTTTTAGGTAGCTCAATGGAAAATTGTTCCTGACCTCATGTGTGTCAGTTTGAATGGGATCAGGTGCGCTAATCATGTTGATGGTGGGCTGCACACGACGTCATTGTTGAAATCGGTCAAGGAGACGTGGAGCAGGAAGAACCGCGCAACGGTGTCACGCATGAAGTTTGAGGCTAGGAATATCAGGAGAATGAAACAATGAAAAGAATGCAAGATGACAGCTAAAACAGGAAGAATTGCGAAGACAGGAAAGAGTTCTGAAGAAGACGTGAGGGGTAGGTGTGGCGTGCACTCGCGCAATTGCTGTCAGTCATGACTCCAAGGGCCGAAGAAAGAGCAGCACTGCTTTTGACGAAACCAAGTCAAGACGGTCGCAAAGGTGAGAGGCGCGAACAAGATATTGGCCGTGAGGGTTGGAACGAAGAGGTTTGACGGGCACAGCTAAACTCTAGGTGGTGCGAAGACCTCAATCGACGCTGATTGGCTGATGGCGTTGGCGCCGCGGAACCTCCGGGCCAAGATCCGCATCTGCAAATCGTCACGCAGCGACATCACCACCGTTGACGTCGGCACCACACATCTCCGCCTGTCGCAATGGCGAAGAAAGGTATGCGCTCTTGCTTTACTTCCGTAGAAGGCCCTTAGAAGCCAACACAACGCCCCCGCCGATCCGCAATGCGCCCTCCCACGACTCACACATCTGCGGACATGCGCTGACGACGAGCCTCACAGCAAAGTCCCGTACCATTATGGTACGCCTGATCTCGATGGCCATGACGGGCTACTACCGGACAATGCAAAGACCACGTGCGCATCAACCGCTGAGCATGCTCAAATACGACCCCATCGGTACGACACCCTCGCACCTTCCTCCCTCTATCATCGGCCGGCGCCTGCCTCATATACGATATCATACTAGACTGGATGCAATCTTGGGGCAATTGAAGGACCCGCGGGTCTTCGTGGGGCAGGCTAGATGCGGGAATATGGCTGACAACGGACAGTGCGGAAACAAGTACTTTTCCTCGAAGCGAAACGCGGCAAGAAATAGAACAAACTCTTCACCACGAAATGAGCGAGCGCAATGGATAACATCGAACGACCACGATGATCATTGGATCTGGGCTCTTATGGAAGTCAGGATGAATAGAGGGAAGCCGCGCACTACAGATGGAAGCCCCGGCAGCAAGGACTACCATCTGGAGCCATCGACAGGCATGAAGCAAGCCGCATGCTTGCACGCCTATGTACTATACAGTCAGCATGGTTCGGCGTTATATACGATTCAAAGCAGACTTGAGCAGCACGTCTGCCACACAACAAACAACTTCTCACTCTCGCGTACTCCAATTTTTCTTGCTCTATCTCCCCGACTACACGGCAATACTCATCTCTGTTCACAGGTTCTCCCGTATTCCTGACCCGAACGCCGAGATGAGGATGCTCGCCAAGGTCAAGGCTCCGCTCCGCTGCTTGTCTGGCCTCTTGGCCCTACTTAGTGCATCGGAAAAGCCTCAGCACCTGGACGGGTTGCCCGAAGAGGTCGTTCCGACTTGACAAGGTCTTGGACTACGTCGCCTATGGGCTTTGTACCAGCCACAAATTACCCCATAAATGCTATGGCTAAGACTCTGGGGCTGCAGGTGATGGCGCACGGAGGAGTTGGCTGCAACCTAAACGCGTCTGTCTACCGGCAGGATAGCCGAGTGTGCGGAAGCGCACAAGTATAAGACGACGCTGACCAGCAGATGTTTGCACTATTCGTTGACTACGCTTTTTGCGACCATCTCGATCTCA